GGAGCCGCCAGGTCTAGAAGGCCCCAGATGGCAAGGGGAGGGGAGGGGTAGGGGAAAGGAGGGTACAAGGTCAGCACCTTGAGCTCAGTCGAGAGGCTGGGTAAGGGCAGGAAAAGCCAGGTTTCTGGGCTGCGGGTTGCACAGGAATGTGAAGTCACAGGAACAAGGACAAGTCCTGCTGCCCCTGGTCCCTCCTTCTGGAGAAACCCCAGGAAACTGTGAGGGCTCAACCAGCTAATCCTCCACAGGCAAACACAGGCATCCCATATGGGCAAGTTTCTGGCTGCTCCACTTTTGATCCAGCTCCCTGCCTTTTCAGTAAAAATACCTTAGAACAACTTGGAAACTGCCAGGCCTTGGACTGGCCCTTGCAGCCCCTCAGCCTCTTTCTGATGACACTCCTAACCCCTGGAGTCAGGGCAGGGGCCCCAGTCCTGTGGGCTGCAAAGAGGCTGGGGTCAAAGGGGCAGCTCATGAGGAAGGGCAAGGAGGCCACCCTTGGCCAGAGGGCGGGGCTGGGAGGGCGCCCATACCTCACCTGCTCCCCTCATACCTCCTTGTTCCAGAAAGGACTATGACATCCGACTCATCCCACCCCCTACTGCAGCCTTCATTCGTTCAGCTCCAACCTCTCCCTTGGACAGGGTTTCTCACTGCTCCAGGAACTGGCCCTTAGCAGCTCACAGGGCAGATTTCTTTCAAGCAATCCTAAATGTTTATTATTATTATTTTTTAAAGATACATTTTTACATGATTTATTTATTTTTATTACAAAGTCAGATATACAGAGAGGAAGATCTTCCGTCCGATGATTCACTCCCCAAGTGAGCGCAATGGTCGATGCTATGCCGATCCGAAGCCAAGATCCAGGAACCTCTTCTGGGTCTCCCACATGGATGCAAAGCATTGGGCATCCTCGACTGCTTTCTCAGGCCACAAGCAGGGAGCTGGACGGGAAGTGGAGCTGCCAGGATTAGAACTGGTGTCCATATGGGATCTTGGCGCGTTCAAGGCAAGGACTTTAGCCACTAAGCCATGCCACCGTCTTATTATTTTTAAGACTTATTTCTACTGGAAAGTCAAATATATCTGACAGAGAGACAGAGTCCAATGATTCACTCCCCAAGTGGCTGCAAGGGCCAGAGCTCCAGGAGCCTCTGGGTCTCCCAGGCAGGTGCAGGGTCTCCCATGCGGGTGCAGGGTCCCAAGGCTTTGGGCCGTGCTTCACTGCTTTCCCAGGCCACAAGTAGGGAGCTGGATGGGAAACAGGGCCGCCAGAACATAAACCGGGGTGCATTTGGGATCCCAGCACATTCAAGGACTTCAGCTGCTGTTACTGTACTGGGACCCAGAATTTTTAAAAAATATTCATGTATTTTTGAGAGGTAGATTTGCAGAGGGAAAGATCTTCCATCCTCTGGTTCACTTTCCAAATGGTCACAACAGCCAGGGCTGACCTTCTTCTGAGTCTCCCATGTGGGTGGCAGGGACCCAAAAACTTGAGGAATCCTCTGCTGCTTTCCCAGGCCAAAAGCAGAGAGCTGGACTGAAGTGGAGCAGCCAGGACACGAACCAGCACTCACCTGGAGTGCCAGCAGTGCAGGCAGAGGATTCGAAGATTCAAGTGCAAAGCCATGAAGCCAACCCCTGTAGAATTTTTTTAAAATCTTGTTCTTTTCAATCACTCTCCGAGGGTGGATGCTGGCCGTCAGATGTGGTGGCGGCCCTTGGACAACTGGGACCACAACCTGGGTCAGAAGCTACCTAGGATCATGGCCACAGGAGGAAGAAAAGCCTGTCTTGGGTTCATGGTCAAGTGCATCACAGATGGGGTCGGAGGATGTGCCGCTGTGTGGAAAGGAATCTGGCCACAGCCACAAGAGCTGGCTCATGTCCACGAGAACCAGCTCCCGTTGCTCATGCCTTTGCCTGCTGTGCCCTGGGCACCTGCTCCTGGACGTCCCTCTCATGGGCTCCTCAGCCTCCATCGGGACCCATCTGCAGCCCACCTCAGCACAGCTTCACCATGGCTCAGCCACCAGGAGCAAAGCAGGTGTCCTCCACCTCAGCAGCCCCATCTGCTCAGCTGCAGAGCCCTAAGAAAGCCTGGTCCCGTAACAGCCCCAAACTCCTGCATTCTGTTGGGTTTCCATACCTGCTACTACTCTACGAGGCCCAATGGCTGAGCCGTGCTGCACAGGCATGCGTCCCAGCCACCCCAGACTCTGCTTCCTGAGCAACCCCAGGGGAGTGCTCCTGGTGCACTCCGGAGGCTGCAAGTTCCAGCTCCATCAGAAAGTAGGCAGCAGGTTCCACACATGACCTTCTGCCTCTATTAATTTAACTTTGATTACCAAGGTCACAGCCAACTAACAATGACCTTCAGCCCCCACCCTCCCCAACCCCACCAAAACACACACCATGGCTGGGCGTTGTGCTAACGGAACAAGCCGCTGGGCAGTTAGAATCCCAAGTTTTAAAAATGAGAAAACTGGGGCCCAACACAATAGCCTAATGGCTAAAGTCTTCACCTTGTACACACTGGGATCCCATATGGACACTGGTTTGAATCCCAGCTGCCCCGCTTCCAATCTAGCTCCCTGCAAGTGGCCTGGGCAAGCAGTAGAGGACGGTCCAAAGTCTTGGGACCCTGCACCCACATGGGAGACTTGGAGGACTTCCTGGCTTCGGATCAGCTCACCTCCGGCTGTTGCAGCCACTTGGGGAGTGAATCATCGGACAGATCTTCCTCTCCATTTCTCCTCCTCTCTGTACATGTGACTTTCCAATAAATATAACTTTTTTTAAATGAGAAAACTGAGAAGCACTGGGTAAGTAACCTGACAACAAGTGTGCAGCTAGACAGAACCTGAACCCAGGTCTTACCAAGTTCACACCACCCTTTGCCACTTGTCCTCTGCTACAGGTGTGAACATTTTTGATCCTGGTCCCACTGGAGGTTCCTTATTCTCAGAGAATAGAATCCTTGCACCCGTTTGCTTGGAAGGACTGTGAGTCTGCTTGTTCTGCTTTGGACTAAAAGATCCAGAATCATTGCAAGTTGGCCACAGCCACCGACTGCCCTGCATTCCTCGAGCCGTGCCAGGCGCAGTGCTGTGGTGCCTGCCCCGCCTCCTCCCAGGACTGCTGGCTCCCAGCACTGCCTTGGGCCTGGGTGATGGCTCCGAGCCAGGCATTCACACACTGGGTCAGTGTGACCTGGGGCACCAGAAGTGGCCTGTCAGCCGACAGGGCAGGGGTAGTGCGTGTGGCACAATTTGACTGATGAAATGTGAACTCTGGTGAATTCAAATGCAGTGACATCAGCCAGCAGCTCAGGTGGGGGCCCGAGTTCCTCGGAGCTGCTGTCGTCCAACATCAGGATGGGTTGGGGCAGCACAAGTTCCTTAGTGACTCCTCTGTCCAGCCAGGGAGCCAGGTACAGAGTGGCTGCAGGTGGCAAAGCAGCCAACCTTTGGACACTCCTCCTCTCTCCCTTCTACTTGCCTCTTGCGACACTCCCGCCACACAGGCAGTGCTGTACCCCAGAGCCTTGGCACTTGGTTTTCCAGGCTCCTGGGACATGTGCAGTGTCTGCCCTCTTCGATGTCTACTTCCATGACACCATTGTGACCAATCTCTCACCGCTAGCCTCAAGTTCTACACCATACGTGCAGCTGCCCCACTTGCTCAATATTGTTACACCTACCTGCACCCACTGAAGGAATGTGACAGGCAGTCACACAGCCAAGAGGGGTCCACCCACCGGAATTTTAAGTCCCATGAGGACAAGGCACTTTTTCCCCACTTGCACTTCCCCCTTGCCTAGCAGGGACCAGCATCCTGTGCTTAGGGCAAACCCCACCACGTGCCCAACACTCAGTGGAAACGATCACCAAGCAACCTGATTGCTTAGAAGCAGAGCTTAATCCTGGATGCCCAAGTCCAAAATCAAGGGTCTCCCTTGCCTCTCCTGTCTGGTGACTCCACAGATCCCCTAGCTCCGGGCCATGTGGCTCAGCAATCTGCTTGCTTCCCTGTGGACTCACACTCGGGACAATGGTTGCTGGACCTGGAACCCACTTGGTGATGTAGCATGGCTTAGTTCATAGCCATGAAGGGCTTCGGTCATACTGGCAGCTGCCAGGCACTAGACGTGAGTCCATCATCTTGGGACCCAGCACCCAGCTGAGGTAGCCTAGGGGTAGTTGACCAGGCCAGCTGTAGCCAGGGGCAGCTCTGGGCAGGCCCCATGACAGACCAACCCCAGGCAAGCCAAGCTCTGGCTGGGTAGATCACAGATAGTGATCCAGAGCCAAGGATTGCTTGTCATTGAGGCCAGGGTCCACTCAGTGAAATGGGAGACTCTCACCACTACATCCGGGTTCTCAGGCTCAAGTCAGGAAGAGACACGTCTCTTCTGACAGCCCCTTGCAGTAGGATGTGCTGCCCCTAAACTGCCACACAAACTACACATACCGCGTAAGGTACACAGGACTCTCACTACACACGTCATGTAAGGTTCACAGGGCTCTCACGACCTGTGATGACACAAAGTTCCAACGTCCTAGAAATGACACGGTACTGTATAAACACGAGGGGATGAGAACCCAACCCTGACAAGAGCGACTACACTGTGGTGCAGTGGGTAATGCTGCTCCCTGCAACGCCAGTAGCCGATACAGGTGCTGCCTCTTGTCCCAGTTGTTCACTTCCGACCCAGCTTCCTGCTAATGCGCCAGGGAAAGCACATGACGACGGCCCAAGTGTTCGGACCCCTGCCACCCACATGGACAAGCCAGATGAGGCTCCTGGCTCTGGCCTGGCCTAACCCTGGCCGTTGGGGTCACATGGGAGAGGGAACCAGTGGATCTTTCGCTTTTAAATAAGTACTTTAAAAAAGACAATCAGACACTGATAAGGGATGCTTCCAGACAGAAGGAAACGATGAGCTGCAGCCCCGACCCAAATTCCCCACCTCTCAATAACAGGCTGACAGATCTGGCTCCAAACATCTTTTACTCAGGTCTGCTCAGAATATCTCAATTCAAACACATCTCACCCAGCTGGCAGGCTGAGGGCTGCCCAGGGACAGGCTTCCAGTGCCAAAAGCACTGATGTCCACAGTGGCATCAGAACAGGTGACCAACTAACACAGACATGTCCTCAGGGTCTCTGTCCCATCTTCTTCAGGGTTCGATTAAGCTGGAAGGGGAAGAAATGCAAAGTTGGCTACAAGTTTTCCTGTACCTGTTCCCACAGGGGGCATCACCAGGTGGGGCTCCAGCACTGCCTGAAGGCAAAGGTGTGCGGAGCCCTGCTGTGCACATGACCCCTCACAGCCTGTGCCGACTGCCCCCCACACTCCAAATCATAACCTCCACTGCTCTCCCCACCCCCACCCCTGTGCCCACAGAAGGCAGCGCTGGTCTGTGTGTAGCTGCTGCAGGCAGAGGCTGCCCTCTGCTGGAGGCTCCCTAGCGTGGGGACACAGGCTCCCACTGGGACTGCAGAAGACCACCAGACTCTGCTAGGGCCTGGATTCCACCAAGGTAACAGGCTGAAACCCCAGCCAGTAGGAACCCGTCAGACCCGTCTGAGGTGGAGCCCAGTGCCAGGAGCAGCGGGTGGGCAGGGATGTGTAGGAGCAGGCAGAAAACCTGCCCATATTAGGAAACCCCAGAGAAGGAGGGAGGGCAAGCAGAGCTGGCCACCCGCAGAGGGCTGGGAAGGAGCCAGCTCCGGGAAGGCCCGCCCCACCCCGCCCTCACAGGGCGCCCCAGCCACAGCTTAAAGGGCCCATTACAGGCCCACTGGAGAACAGAAGCAGGAAAGACACCACGTGACAAGTCCCACCCCATTCTGAGCCCTGGCAGTCCCCAGCAGTCTCTCACCTCCTCAAATTTGTGGATCTGACGTATGAAGAAATCCCCATAGCGCCTGGCGACCTTGGTGTCAGCAATGTGGATCATGTCCTGGGGGACAAGCGTCAGCCATGAGGGGAGTAGGAAGGGGAGGGTCCCCCAACCCAGGAGCCACTCAGGGACTTGCTGTTAAGTGCTGGCAAAATCTCTACCCCTACACTGCTTGTCAAAGGCAAAGGCAGGGGTGTGGGGAGGAGCTGCTGGGAAGAACACCAGAAAACATGTGGCGAAAACAACTTCTGATGTAGGCAAGGGGCACATTATTATTAGCCTGACCCAAATACAATCTCTGAGCAAAATTGAACATCTATAATAACCACACTGCTTATTCTCAGGAGAGGCGTTCCACCAAGCCAGAGTTGGGGCGAGCTACTTGGGGCCTCTTAAGAGACAAGCATGATAGCACAGCTCACACTGCAGGGAAGGCTCCTTGAGTTGAAACAGCATTGAAAAACACCCACTTTTACTGGCAAGGTTTTATGTTGGCCAAGTCTGTTCATGTCAGACACAGTTAAATTCTGCCAACCACATCATATTCCAGAAGTTACAGTCTCAAGTGAGAGAGCAAGGGGAGTTTCCAAAACAAATGACTCAGCACGTTCACACCTAGACACAAATGCTGCTCACACAAACTTCGTCACAGCAGTGAAAACAACTCCCAGGCCTGCTGCCCAATGAAGGGGTGTGTGTGTGTACAGGACAGCAACGAGGCAGCTGAGCACTCACACACAAGCCACAGTGCGGGTACACTTGGCCAGCAGGCATGGGGAGGGCAGCCCCACACAAGCGGCGACATATTGGAAGGCCATGGAAACGCCAAGGGAAACCCCCAAGGCAGAAAGGGGAAGGAGCGAGCAGCCAGGAGGGACTGCTGCTGGGTAGCTGGCTGCTTTCCACGGAATGGAAACGTCCTGCAATTAGACCGTGGCATGCTTCCACAACATCATGATTACAGAATACTAAAATCACAGTGTTGGAAACTTTCACATGGCAGCACTGGGCTGGTTGGGGCACAGGGGTCTAGGCCACCCACCCTGAGATGGTAGCATCCTATACCATTGCCAGTTTGAGCCCTGGCTGCTCCACATCTGACCGAGTTCCCTGCTGATGTGCCAGGGAAAGCAGAAGATGGCCCAAAGCCTTGAGACCCTGTGCCCATGTGGAATACCCAGAAGCTCATGGTTTGTGGCTCCGGATAGGCTCAGCTCTAGTTGTTGTGGCCACATGGGGAGTGAACCAATGGACAGAAGATCTTTATCTGTCTCTCTGTATTAACTTCCTTTCCAATAAAAATAAATAAAAATGACCTGACACAGCAACCTACTGGCTAAAGTTCTTGCCCTGAATATGCTGGGATTTCATGAGTGCCAGTTTTTAATCCTGGCTGCTCCATTTTCCTTCCAGCTCCCTGACTATGGCTTGAGAAAGCAGCAGAGGATGGCCCTGCACCTGTGTAGGAGACCCAAAACAAGCTCCTGGCTTTGGATCGGCTCAGCTCTGGCTGTTGGGGATCGATCAGGCAGATGGAAGATCTTTCTCTCCACATCTCATTCTTTCTGTAAATCTGACTTTCCAATTTAAAAAAAAAATCTATTAAAAAAGAAGTGGAGCAGTCAGATTTAAGTTGTCAACCACTTGGGACGCTGGCTTCACAGACAGTGGCTTCATCCGCCATGCTACAACAGATGGCGTATCATTCTCTAACTCTGCTTTTCAAATTAGTAAGACTTAAAGAGATTTATCCAAGCTAAGCCCAGAGGAACAGAGAGAAGATGCTGGTCTAATCTCTAAATGCTTTTAAGGGCCAGGGTTCAGCCAGGCCAAAGTCAGCACCTTAGCAGGCAGAGAAAGAGGATGTGGGGTCCAAAGAGGGATGTCTGGGACCTGAACTGACAGGATGTTGCCATCATAGGTGGCATGGCTTAACATGCTGCACCACGATGTCAGCCCCTACACAGTACATTCTCAAAAATCGCCCAGGGCTGTAGCTATGGCATGGTACATTAAGCCTTAGCCTGTGGTGCTGGTATCCTGCTAATGTTGCCCGGGAAGGAACAGAGGACGGCCCATGTCCTCAAGCACCTGCATGCATGAGGGAGGCCAGAAGGAAGCAGGAGGCTCCTGGTTTCAGGCTGGCCCAGTTCTGCCAACTGTGGCCACCCTGGCACATCTACTACGGTCTGCTTAGTAATAACGCTGATCTGTTTACTGGGCATTTTCCTTCTTCTTTTTTAACAAAAATACTTATTTTGGGCCCGGCGCGATAGCATAGCAGTTAAGGTCCTCGCCTTGGAATGCGCTGGGATCCATATGGGCGCCAGTTCTAATCCCAGTGGCCCTGCTTCCCATCCAGCTCCCTGCCTTGGCCTGAGAATGCAATTGAGGACGGCCCAAGACTCCGGGACCCTGCACCCATGTGGGAGACCCAGAGGAGGCTCCTGGCTTCAGATTGGCTCAGCTCCAGCTGTTGCGGCCACTGGAGAGTGAATCATTGACGGAGGATCTTCCTCTGTCTCTCCTCTCTGTATATCTGCCTTTCCAATAAAAAATAAAAAATAAATCTTTTAAAAACAAATATTTGAAAGCAGATTTTTCAGAGAGGAGACAGAAAGGGTTGTCCATCTGCTGACCAAGTGGTTACAACAACCAGAGCTGAGCCGATCCAAAGCCAGGGGCCAGGAGCTTCTTCCAGGTATCCCACAGAGGTGCAGGGTCCAAAAGACTCAGGCCATCTCCTCTGCCTGTGACACAAGGGTCTAGCATGGTGACTCAGTGGCTAAATCCTCACCTTGCATGTGCCGGGATCCAATATGGACAACCAGTTCATGTCTTGGCTACCCTACTTCTCATCCACATGGTACCACGGGTGGAGGTGGCCTACTCTGCCACCGTGTCAGCCCCTACTGCCTACTGTCTTACAGTAGGATGGAAACACCCCAAGAAGAGGATTTTTCACAAAAGTGCCCCATGCCCAGAACAATGGCAGAAGATCACAGTATTTTTTTTTTTCGAACTCCCTGCCCAGACACGAGCCTACCTTATCGATGTAGAAGTCGACCTCAGAGGCTGACTGGAACTCGCCGTCGAGGGCAGAGATGCCGCTGGTCCACACCAGGTTCTTCATCTTGTGCTTGAAGACGAGCAGCTGGATGCGGAACTCCTGCTCGGTGAGGTCCAGGAAGCCGGCCAGCTTGGCCACGGGCATGGTGGTGTAGAGCTTGAGGAAGCTGCGGATGGTCGAGAGCTGCGCCTGTTGCTGCACCTCATCAGAGAACACCTTCAGCTGCTGCAGGAAGGGCTCCTTGTGGTAGTTGGGGTGCACATTATCATAGTTGGGCACCACAGGCGACAGGAACTTGGGGCACGAGTAGCTGAAGAGCTCCTCGTAGACCTGCGGGTCGCCCTTCTGCATGCGCAGCATCTTGTCGCCATACTTCTCCCGCAGCTGCAGGTGGATGCTCTCGTCAATCCGCATCGGGTACATGGTGAGCGCGATGGCCAGCAGCGCGTGCATCTGCTCGTTCTGCTTGTTGATCTGCCGGCAGGTCAAATCCGTGAGAATGATGAGGCTGACAACCGTGCTGAGGCCCCAGTGCCCACAAGCTGCCCACCCCTAGGGACACTGCAGGAACCCTCACCGCTCCCCCTCACACCAGTCTTGGTTTCCCCAAGATCTTTGCTAATCTTCACTTGAGCGCCACTGAGCTTGCCTCAGTGCCCCTCATTTGGGGCTGTCACCTCCCAGTTCCTCATGGCACTCTGTCTTTCCCCAGTCCACCTGCCATCACTGACAGGTCAATCCTCTCATGTCAGTTAGGATAAAGTTCCTCAAAACTTCTGATGGCTCCTCACTGCTCATGGAACACTAGATACACCGTGATAAGCACTACTTTAGAATCCAACACTCTGACCCCCACAACTGTCAGCCTCCAGCTGAAATGGCTTAGTGTGTGGCATCATCATCCTTTGAAATCTCAGCCCCTGGGCCGGTAAGTGTAGTGCAGTGGGTCATACTGCACCTAGGCCACCTGCATCAGTGTCAGTTCAAGTCCGCTACCCCGTTCCAACGCAGCTTCCTACTAACACGTTGTGGGGACTACAGATGATGGCTCAAGTACAAGGGTTCTACTCAGTTAAAAGATCTGGACAGAATTTTAGGCTCCTGGGTTCGGCCTAAAATTCAGCCCTGGCTGTTGTAGAGATTTGGAAAGTTAGCCCACAAATGAAGACCTTTCTTTCACCTGCTGTAGCTCTCTCTCTCTCTCTCAAGCAGTTTAAAAGAGCCAGCTGCAGGTCCAGCGCAATGGTTCAATTGGTTAGTCCTCCCCCTTCAAGCACTGGGATTCCATATAAGCACCAATTTGTATCCCAGCTGCTCCACTTCAATCCAGCTCCCTGCTTGTGCCCTAGGAAAGCAGTCAAGGACAGCCCAAAGCCTTGGAACCCTGCACCAGTGTGGGAGACCCAGAGAAAGCTCCTGGCTACATACTGGCTCAACTTCGGCCACTGTAGCCATTTGGGGAGTGAGCCAGTGGATGGAAGCTCTCTCTCTAAATCTGTCTTTCCAATAAAAATAAATATTTTTAAAAATGAACACATGAGGAGCCAACAGCACAGAGAGCCCCTTACCATCTCATACTTATACGTGGTTCTCTGGAACATGCTCTTGGTCCTTTGGATGTAGAGGAGGATGTTGGCAAAGACCCGGATGGCATCCTGGTAACGTCGCATCATCAAGTATGCAAAGCCAACGTAGTAGTAGGTGGTCACCTGGCACTCTGGCACACGGGAGTACATGCTCTGTGGGAGGGGAGGCACAAACAGCTGAGTCGGGCTGTACCAGGGGCATGTGCAAGGAAGGAAAGCTGAGAGTTAGCCGGCGGGGAGACACCAGCAGGGACCCCCTGAAAGGCCTGGAAGTATCCCAAGGAAGCTGTGGCGTCGAAGCCACTACTACATGGTTATGTTTTTATGGCTTCCATATTTCTAGCTATAACTACAAGGAACTACTAACCTAAAACAACAACAACTGCTACTACTAACCTAAAACTCAATGCTGTATTTTTTTTTCACTTTTTCCAAATAAGTGCTATAAAGGAATGTGCAGGGGCTGGTGCAGAGGTGAGGGGATCAAGCCATCTTCTGCAGTGCTGAATCCCCACATGGGCACTGGTTCAGGTCTCAGCTGCTCCACTTCAATCCAGCTCCCTGCTAACGCACCATGGAAATCACTGGGTCCCTGCACCTACGTGGGAGACCTGAAGAAGCTCCTGGTTCCTGATTGGCTCACTCTGGCCATTATAGCCACTTGTGGACTGAATCAATGGATGGAAGCCCCTTCTTATTGTAACTATGCCTTTCAAATAAAAGTAAAATCTTAATAACAGAGAGAGGAAGAACCAAGACTGCTGAAAAACACCTAAGTGTTGTGAGGCGCTGCAGCTGGCCAGGTGCACTCTGACCATACCAAAGAGACTCTAGGCGGCCCAGGGAGGAGTCCTCCTTGGCCCCCAAGGTTCACCCCAAGAACATCCCATGTCTCCCCCGGAGTGGAAGCCAGCCATTACCTTCTTGTTGAGCTCGATGTTCTCCAGCACCTTAATAGCCTGGTAGTAATCTCCGAGCAGCGAGTGAAGGCGCAGGAGCCCCACGAGGCTGAAGTAGCCGAGCATCTTGTAGAGTGAGTGGCGCCCGTACTCCCCAGCCACACTCTCAGGGTCACCTGGCAGGGACAGACACAGCTGCTGCAGCAGACATGTGATAAAGAACGCCCCAATGCTGCCTTCCACAGGGCGCTCCGAAACAGTGAGCCCAGTACAGCCCACCATGCTCATTTATTCTCGGGGGTGAGAAGTGAGTGGGGTCTCTTACCAAGACCCCTCCGACCACCTGATCACTGAGTCCAGAAGTCAAAGCTGGACTCTGGCCATGCATTTGCACGAAAGGGACCAGCTCCTCTTTCTGAGAGCACCATTTCTACTGGAAAGAATGATGGCCACTAACAGGTCATTCAGATTCAACTACCTGCAAACATGTTCTCAAGAACACACGAAGTCAACCTGCACACTTCAACGAAAGCAGCTGAAGCCGACCACGTCTGCTGCCAATGAGAAACACGCGCTGCCAGATGCAGCTTTGAAAAGCTCTCACTAGGGGCCCGGCGCGGTGGCGCAAGTGGTTAAAGGTCCTCGCCTTGCACGCCCGGGATCCCATATGGGCGCCGGTTCTAATCCCAGCAGCCCCGCTTCCCTTCCAGCTCCCTGCCTGTGGCCTGGGAAAGCAGTCGAGGACGGCCCAAAGCTTTGGGACCCTGCACCCGCGTGGGAGACCCAGAAGAGGCTCCTGGCTTCGGATCGGCATAGTATCGGCCCGTTGCGCTCACTTGGGGAGTGAATCATCGGACGGAAGATCTTCCTCTCTGTCTCTCCTCTCTGTATATCCGCCTTTCCAATGAAAAAATAATAAAAATAAATCTTTAAAAAAAAAAAAAAGAAAAACTCTCACTATTAGCTTCCAAATAAAGACCTGCAAAGATCAGTGCCAATGCCAGCAATGTGACTTTTAAATACTATAATAAAATGTGTGTCAACATTTAGATCTTTACAACACAGTGAATCAATATTTTTACAAAATTACAAGAAGGTAAAACAACAAATTCAAACAGTAGCCAGAGCAGTAACTTGAGTCGGAGAGGACCACCTGTCTCAAGATCCACAGTAGTTACCCTGCAGGGAACCACCACATGTCACAACTCCAAGGAGGTCCATTCTACATCACAACACTTCTCAGAGCCCCCAACCACCCGGAGGGGCCAGTAGACCCCGCTTCCCCAGACACCAGTATCTTCCCAGTCTCACCCCAGCCACTTCAAACAAGCCTGACTTCAAACAAGCGCAGAAGACTTCCAAACAGCCTCCTGCTTTGCCACCAGCCCCTGTGGGAGCAGATCCAAGACCTGACTGCTTCTCCCTTTCTGACCCAGCTCCCTCTTTTCTTCTTTAAAGATTTATCTTTACTGGAAAGGCAGATCAATTTCACAAAGAGAGAGAAAGTTATTCATCCACTGGTTTACTCCCCAAATGGCTGCAGCGGCCGAGCTAAGCCGATCCAAAGCCAGGAGCCTCCTCTGGATCTACCACAGGTACAGGGTCCCAAGGCTTTGGGTCATCCTCTACTAGTTTTCCAGGCCACAAGCAGGCAGATGGATTGAAAGTGCAGCAGCTGAGACACGAACTGGCACCCAGAGGGGATCCTAGTCCTCACAAGTTGAGAATTTAGCCATGGCACCGAACCCAATCCAGTTCCCTCAAACTGCCTGGGAAACCAGCAAGAGATGGCCCAAATGCCTGGTCCCCTGCTGCCCATGTGAGAGATGTGGCTGAAGCTCCTGGCTCAGTCCTGGCAGTTGTGGCCATTTGGAGGGATGAATAGCAGACTTCCCCCCAGGAATTGCCTTTCAAAAAACAGCAGTGTAAAGAGGATCCAACTTCCAAAGCCCAAGAAGGATTCATCTGAACCCGCAGGCCACAGCCCCGGGAGGTGTTTGCGAAAGAACAGCTCAGTAAGCCCACCCTAACTCAGCACAGCGCTCCCACAGACGCAACATAGCTGCTCTGCTTCCTCAGGGACTCGGCCGGAGCCAAGCGCAGGCCGCTGGAAGGGATGCCAGGCTAGAGTGCTAGGCCTGCTGCCTCACCTCCGCTGGTGTACACCTCCAGCTGCCGGTTGATGTTGGATTTATCCACCAGGGAGTGCAGGACATTGAGGACGCTGTGCACATTCCAGATTTTGGGATTGGAGCGCAAGAAGTCGATCTCCTCCTCGGACTTCTTGGCCGTCTTACAGCGGTACTGGCTGAAGGACTGGAACTGTTGAGGCAGAACAGAAAGACACAGCAGTGGGACAGGGGCACATGACCAGCATGTGTGCAAGGGCACCAATGAGGCGAAGCCAGAGCTCTGGGCCAGGGAGAGGAGCAGGGAGATGACCACTGCTCATTTTCAACTTTCTTATAGCTCATTCTCCCAAAGCCAGCTCCAAGTAAGCCATGAATCTTAGGCACTACTGAATATATCCTCACACGGTGATTAGGTGAAAGTACCTAGCACTGCTACTAGTTTGTGGGGGGGAAGGGGGGGGAGACAACACAGGGACTTCAGCCTTCCTTAGAAAGGGAAAGCATGGTAATCTCCTTCCAGGAGAGAACCAGCTAAGCCCAGGCAGTGATTATCTTAAGAGGGATAGAGCTCCTCTAGCTTGTCTGGCTGACAGCAGTCACATCTGGCCACCAGTCAGGAGGCCTGCACAAGCCATCCCTGGAAAAAGCCTAGGAGCCTAGCCCTGGGCAAGCCGCTCCAGGCACACCCTGGGGGGACCATGGATTTATGCTGGTGGAGTAGCATAAAGAATGCCTTCTTTGTTTTCTTTCTTTTTTTTTTTTTTTTAACCCACTCAAGAAACTTAGATGAAGCTCCTGGCTGAGAACTTCAGCCATGTGGTTGGTTAGTAAACCAGCAGCCTAAAGATCTTTAACTCTCCCTCCCTGTGTAACTCCACCTTTCAAATTAATAAATCTTAAAAACAAAACAAAAAAACTCCATCAAATACCCCTGAAATACCCAAAGCTAGCCAATTATACGATCCCCATAAAACACAAGCAAAAAGAGATCCTTTTCCTAAATTCTGTTTTAATCTTTTTCAGATGTATAATTCTACAAAATAAAACTGGTCTCCACAAAAGAAGGAAAACAATCTCACAAAAAGGCCACATTTACTACGATGATAAGCACTATGTAAACTGCCTTTCCTACAATCCTGACATAGACATGTAAACTACCCCAGGGCCTTAAGTAATGAGGAAGCTCCTGGCTTCTGGTCTCGGACTGGTTCAGCTACAGCCACTGCGGCTGCCTGGGGAATGAACCAGCTGACAGAGAGACCTTCCTCTCTATCTCACCTCCTCTCTATATATCTTACTTTCCAATAAAAATAAAACTTAAAAAAATTGATTGTCTGCAGCAGCCTGGAGAAGGTGACCTGACAGATTTTGGCCACCACTGTCTCCATCATCGTCAAGCAGTGTATTTGCATTTTCTGAGTGTGGGATTTGAGGTTCGAACAACTTACAATCAAATCTCTGTGATGGAGCGACCAGACAGCAGCCCAAACACAGAAACGTCCAACTTCCTACCCGGAGCTTGGGCCAGAGCCTCGGTAGAAAGCAATGAGGACACGGCCAGAGGATATCTTCTGCCACACCTGGACTGTTTTTTTTATAACATGTAATGGTTTCACCTGCTCCCTGCCCGGGTCATTATTCCAAACGAGGCGCAGGAGATACCTGATAGATGAACTCATCGATGATATCCCACAGCCACTGGTTGGGAAGTTCAAGGGGAGCAGGACCATCAGCATCTGCTCAGGAAATCACCAAATAAATAAATGTCAGATCCACAGATTATTCACAGACCACAGAACCAGCTTTGCTTACTTTCACTTATTTGGAAGGGGAAGAGAGGTCCTCCATTGTTGCTCACGTCCCCTACAGCCAGGCTACAGAGACGTCCCCATCCCTGTCTCCCACATGGGTGGCAGCAACTCCCGTACTTGAGCCATTAACTGCTGCCTCCCAGCATAAGCATCAGCAAGAAGCTGACCAGAAACAAACTAGCTGGGACTTGAACCTGGCAGGTTGATAGTCACTCAGCTCACTGCACAATGCTTGTCCCTAAAATTTCCCTCTTAAAAGGACAATAAATCACAAGCCCCCAACTCCCACTTACACTCCCAAATCCTGCTTAAGAAGAGCATGAAACCAAAGCCAGCTCTCAACCTCACCCACTTGGCTCAATCTGAGACTCACTAAGAATGTAGTTGAAGAGATTGCAGTAGTTGTAGTAGGATTCAAACCTCTGGGCCAAGGACGGTCCCCCCTGTGAAGAGAACAGACATCAGCACACAGATAACTTACTTCCACGTGGCTTGGAATGCCTAGTCTTACAGCCACAGGGAAGCCAGCAAAAGTGCTCCAGCCCACAGGGCACTGCCCGCTGGATGACAGGGGCACAGACCTGACCCTTAGAGAACAGGAGTGCTCTGGCACAGAGAAGGCAAAGTGTTCCATAGAAACAGAAGAACACAATGCCAACACGGGCACAACTGGGCTTCAGAAACAGAAGCCCAAAGAGACAACATGCCAGCAAGCCACACTAGGCCCCACTGAGCCAGCAGGTAGGAGGCCTTCCTATCCCAGACTCCAGGCCAGGGCCAGTAACCACCTACTCGTCTCTTGTCCATCACTTGTTGCACGGGCACACAGCTATGTCCACTCAGGACACACTGCTCACAGCTACCGCAAAGTCATAGCTAAGAGGATTACTGATGAACAGCAGGACCTCAGAGCCTAACCACTTGCTGGCCCTCGGGTCCAGCTTCTGAGCTTGGGGAGTGAGAGCAGGAATGACGTCTTTTGCTACTGGGTACAAAGAATACAAATGCTGTAGTCTTGGCCCTGTCCCTCCAAGTGGCGGTGGTGGAGTGTGTCGCTGACTGGTCACCAGTAAGACAACAGTTAAGACCTTTACACAATACAAAGGCTCACGAGGGGAAAAACCTCCTCCTCACAGCTGAACACTGGCCACATGTGAGGCAGTGTCCACTGGTACCTAGTGCAGTAGTTAACATCTTGGCCTGCTGAGCCATCAGCTACAGATTGGGCAGAAGGTGCCTGGGGGCTGGCGGGAGACACCTGATGTTCTGGCCTGCCCGAAGCCATATGTCCACTCTGGCTATCCTCTCCCTTCCCACTAGGTCCATCAGTTTCAGCACTAATAACCCTAGAGCATCTACCTCCTACCAGCTTAGGTGACTGGGGTCCCACTGGAATGACTCTGGTGGCAGGAACTCTACCAGTCACGGGGACAACTGGTGCCGAGGCGGGGGTTCGAGTCAGATCAGTCAGGTGCTGAGGGACGGGCGGCGAGCAACTGAGAAGCTGGGACCAAAGACCATGGCTCTGTTTTCCTTTTTCACTCAGGCACACACATGCTCAAAATTACATCACCAAGATGAGTCAGACAGGATTCCAGGCATGGGACTCCAGCGGGAAAGACACAGTTGGGGCAGCTAACCTCTAGCAGATGAAGCAAGAAACCCCTACTGAACACATGCTAGAACGCGCTAGTGAGAGCTGTTCTCAAGTGCCAGGAATGGCTAGGGATCCAGGAAGGGAGAGGATAGGGAAGAAATAAGCCGGGCAAAGGACGCAGCAGCCACAGCTAAAACCTGGGACTTCAGCCTGCTCAGGAGAAGCCTGTGAGGGAGTGGCCTGGCGACCATCCTGCAAAGCAAGAGGACGGGGCGGAATGTGCTGGCAGGGGAGCAGCACGTGCACGGGTTCTGGCCCGAGGACTGGCGCTGGAGAAGCAGCAGGGGTATGAGTGTTGGCTTTGAGAAACAGGTTGAATGGCAGTGAGATGACAAACGTAAAGGAAGCAGTTTAAGAGAGAAGCAGAAGTTGAGGCTTGGGCACATTACACTACAGATGCTGAGCAGCCAGTGCGACACCCAAGCCTGGCCTTCTGCAATGGGCTGAGGTTTCTGCTAAGATTTTTGTCAACTCTGTGATACTGCCACTAAGAGACAGAACCAAGCGCTTAGCATTGTGCCTGGCACACAGTGACAGCACACTGAAGGAAAAAAGAATAGTGTCTGGGTACACGCTGCGGGGATGGCAGTCTGAAAGCCCGCACATGGTAATGAGTGCACCGGCAAGAAGGGCGGGGACAGGCTGCACAGTGCTGGCTTCTCTGGCGTGCACTCCAGCAATGTGGACTCACTAGCTCCCTCGGCATTTCTTAGATGGAATCTCTGTCCATCCCTGTTGGACGCTGCAGCAAGGTCAGGTAGTGACTGTGCTCTTGGGATGCAAACAGCTCAGAGTTTAAAAGTCTGCTGGGGGGTGAGTGCCAGGCCAGGTTTGTCTTCATGCCCCAGACACGGAGCACACCGGTGGCAAGCTCTGTGGTTTGGGGGCTTTGAATTGCTGCTTAGGTAACTGTGCTTCTATGTTACAAATCAATCCTGAAGACTACCAATGACAAAGTAACTTTTCCTTTGAAAGTAAGCAAGGGTACTGAGACCTGGTAGGTTGGAGAGGGACCACATGACCTTTATGGGTAAAACTGATATACCAGCCTCCTTTGAGTCCTACGTAGAACTTGTTATCACTGAACAATGCTGACCACTGTGCACCAGTCTATAAAAGAGCTAAGGCTGGTGGCTTGCCTGGCAGGACCATATCCTAGCACCTGACATAATGATGGATTAGGAGACGGGTCACATTAGGCAGGGCCATGACATTAACTAGCACACGAGAGAACCATTTCTGGGGGTAGATTCTGTGAGGGATCTGGGGGCCAAATTCTGTGGAAATATTAATCCCACTGGTTAGATCAAGAGTTGGGGCGGTGATAGACTAAGCTAGGTGTGACCAAGGAGCCTGCCATCACTCACAGGAGAAGGAACTGACAACAGTCTGGACTGGTCAAGGCAGCAGCACCCAAATGTGCATCCTGAATAGGGTGTGGGGTGGGCCAGGCTGCTGGGGGCCTTCAGATACTCACACTGACTTTGGCATATATGTGCCTGTAGTATAATTCCTTGTACAAAATCAAGAAGACGGCATCTGAAAAAGATGGCAGAGCGCGTGTAAGTTTGAGTGGAGGGAGGGAGAAAGGTGATTTTAGGAACCAAACAACATCTAAACTGTATGCTTATGCACAAAAAATGCATGCCAAAAAATTCACTTCATGGCCCAACATAGTGGCCTACTGGTTGGGGTCCTCGCCTTGCATGTGCCAGAATCCCATGTGGGTGCTGGTTCGTGCCCTGGCTGCTCCACTTCCCTTCCAGCTCCCTGTTTGTGGCCTGTGAAAACAGTAGAAGAGAGCCCAAAGCTTTGGGAACCTGCGCCCATGTGGGAGATTTGGAAGAAACTCCTGGCTTCGGATTGGCTCAGCTCCAGCCACTGTGGTTGCTTGGGGAGTGGACCAATGGATGGAAGATCTTCCTCTCTCTCTGTGATTCTGACTTTCCAGTGTAAATAAATAAATCTTAAAATTTGTTTTTTTCCCATTCTATTCTGTCAGCCTCATTCTAATCTCATTTGAAAGGCAGTAACAAAGAGTAAAAGAAACCTTCCATCTGCCGGTACACTCCCCAAATGACTGCAATAGCCAGAGCTGGACTAGTTCAAAATCAAGAGCTAGGAGCTTCATCCAAGTCTCAAAGTGTGTGCAGGTGCCTTCGCACTTAGGGCCATCCTCTGCTGCTTCCCTAGGTGAAGAGCAGGGAACTGGATTGGAAGTGGTCCAACCAGGACTTGAACTGGTACCCATGAGATGCCTGCACCACATGTGGAGGTTCTACCTGTTATGCCACAGCACTGGCCTCTTCACTAATTAGAAACAGTTGCTGTCCAATTACTTTAACAAACCATCACATAAATAGTGAAGGCTCCACAAGACACTAATAACATTAGAAACCCAGACATCTTTGACACAGAAATCCTATTTAGGAGATTCATCCTGTGGCCAATGCAGCCTCAAGTGGTCATGCTGTGCAGGAAGAATTAACACAGCCAACCCGAGACTGCTGTCCTTCGAGATGCTCACTGCGTGACTAGCTGGCACCTCGGCACCTTCCAGCTGGACACCTGCCCTCCCTCTGGGAGTGTCATGTGTTGGTGTGCTGGGTAGAGACAGATGTGTGGCTAGGTTCCAATGGCATCCCTGGACACGAGGGCTCTAAGGAGTGGCTGCAGTAGAAGACACAGACATGTGTCATCACACAACATGGCCACATGCAGTCACAATCTGTTGCCAGATGCAGGAAGTCACACAAGACCCCACTGAGAAGGGACTCTTAGAAACCTGTGCCTCCTAGGAGGAAGGCGCAAATCCAGACACCCACATAGGCACAGGACAAATGCCTATGGGAAAGATCCTCTTTCCAGCAGGAAGCACTGAGGCAGCCACATACCGACATGTGAACAGCTAAGTGCCCATCACTTCTCACACAGACAGGACATCACCTAAGAAGGTGCCAGGTGGGAGGCTAGAGGGCTGACTTCAGAGTGACTGGAGTGACCACAAATTATGGAAAGAAGTAGAAAGCAGTCAGGACAAAGACTGCCAACGTTGGCTTTGGCCACATAGAGGAGAGCTGTCCCCTTGTGAGACCCACGGCCTTCCTTCCTCCAACTGTACCTCTGAAGAAGCACTGGGACTTAGGGAGAGAAGCAGGGAAGCCCCAGGGACCCAGCCTGCAGAGGCCTCTGGCCAGGGGCTCCTAGCTGCAGGTGCCCACACAGCACCCCTGACCCCCAAGCACACACCTACCGTTGCCAACCTGCGGGGCGATGGTTTCAGCCTCCGGCCAAGGAGTATTCTTGAAGAATCTCTCAGTCAGCTTAGTCCAGCTGAAAACCAAGTAGAGAAGTTCCATAGCTTCTAAATAGGGAGAACCCAAGAGCTATCCCTGCCAGTGGATGGATGAGGATGCAGCTCTGAGAGGGCAACTGGCCCCCGAAGCTGGACCAGGCCCCTCCCCGTCCACAACATCCTTCCCCAACTCTGCACTGTGACAGGTGTAGCCTGCTGCCCTCACTATAGCAACTCACTCCCTTCAGTCAGGAGCTCAGTAAGCCTTCAGAGTCACATGACTCTATCCCGGCCTGTGATGTTTCCACATCAGGGAATGCTGTGCCTGCTGTGCTCTGACTCCACAGCACACCTGCATGCATGCTGGCACTGTTTCTCCCCAGCTCCCCTGAGTAGCTCCATCCTCTTCTCCCACCCCAGCCTGAGTCCTCCTTTCCTCCTGGGTTAGCCCAGCACACATAGGAAGCAAAGTGAAAGCCTCCCACTCTGGAGCCCTCTAGATTGAGTGATTCCTCGGACATCCGACTCCACTCTCATCTGACCTTTTGCTACAGATCACACCCTCTTCAAAGCCTCTGGAAAATTTTTTGGTTGCCCTGACACCTGTCTGATGACTCACTCCCCTCCTCTCCATTTTCAGGGCCAGAGTTGTGGTATAGCAAGTAAAGCCTTTGTCTGTTGGAGATTTACTTGCTCCCATATATATTGGTTCCTACACAGTGCACCAATTTAAGTCTGGCTGCTGCACTTACAATGGGGAGTGAACTAGACAGACGATATTTCTCTCTCTCTCTCTGTAACTCTGCCTTTCACACATTAAAATGACTTTCAAAATAAATAAACAGACAAAAGATTTGTTTTCGTTGTATTTGAAATGCAAAGACACAGAAAAGCAGAGGTAGCAACAAATCTTTCAAGTGTTGGTTTAAGCCCCAATGCCAATAGCCAGGGCTGAGCAAGGCTGAAGCCACTAGCCCAGAACTCGCATCCGCCTGAGCCTCACCTGCTGCAGGCAGGCCAGTGCAAGACACAGCCATCAACTTGACCGCTGTCCCTTTTCCTGCCTTTTGAAAATCTCTGGTAATTTCTTAGTCATTTGAAAGGCAGAGTGACGGACATGAAGACACAGAGGAAGAGATCATCTCCCAACACACAGGGGTCAGGCTGGGCCAGGCACTCCAACTGGTCTCCTCTGGGTGCCATGTGCCATCATCTGCTGCTTCCCTGGTACGCTGGCAGATGGTAAGCAGAGACTAACACTCCAGCGTGTCGGCAGAGAACAACCCCAGGTGGGACAGCCCCTTAAGTCCCAATAGCATCCTCCAGCTACAGGGGATTAACAGAACAGAACAGAATTTTAATTTTCAGTAAATTTTATGTCAAATATAAAAACCAGTAATTCAGACCAGCGCAGTGGCTCATCTGGCTAATCCTTCACCTCCAAGTACTGACATCCCACACGGGTGCTAATTCATGTCCCAGCTGTTCCACTTCCCACCCAACTCCCTGCTTTTGGGCCAGAAAAGCAGAAGACAATGACCCAAAGCCGTGGGACCCTGCACCCACATGGCAGACCCACGAGAGGTTCCTGGCTCCTGGCATCAGACGGGCTCAGCTCCAGTCATTATGGCAACTGGGACGTGAACCAGCAGATGGACTCTCTCTCTCTCTCTGTCTCACATTCTCTCCATAAATCTGCCTTTTCAATAAAAATATTTTTTAAAATAAATAAAAACCAGTAACTCAGTTATTGAAACACTTTCAGTACTCAGGTATATTTGGAATTACTTGAATAAACTTTATGAAATCTAACTACAGATTAAGTGTTTCTGATACAGAAGAAATTAAATATGCTCCAACTATAAAATACATACTAGATTTAGATTTATTCCAAGGGCAAAAAGTTGAAATACCCAATTAGCTTAAAACATTCACTCCACTCCCACCTTCTAACCCCACTCACACGCCCAGGAAAGCAGCAGAGGAAGGCCAAATTCTGCGGCCTCTGCACACACTCAGGACACCTAGGAGGGCCTGGCTTCAGCCTGCTGCTGAGGCCACCTGCAGAACAAACCAGCAGAGGGGAGACTTTCTGGTTTCTACTCTGTAACTCTCATCTTTCAAATAAACAAAACCTAAATAAAGGGAGGAGAGGGAGCCAGAACAACAGCGAGGCCCTCTACTGTGTGACACAGGCAATCAAGCCCACTCACTCACTTTTAAAATACTAGCTACATTTGGAAAAAAATATGTAAGATCCGTTTTTCTAATGAATGAAGCTGCACCTGTGGCTATGATCATAATTCTGCTCAAGAGCTCAGGCCTCTTCAGTTTCAACCAGGAAACTAGGAAACGCAGGCCAGGCAGGCCAAACCCAGCAGGCCTCCAGACCCCTGCCCACCTTGCCACCTCCCAGGCATCATCTCCACTCTTGGCAAAGTCTCTCCTCAACACCCTAGCTGTATGTATCTCCAACGGCCGCCACACTGGGGCACTCTCAAAACCATGCCACGGGACAGGTATCCGGTGCCAACGGAGAGACCAGCATTTCATATCAGCCCGCCTGGGTTCAAGTCCCAGCCCCACGTGGTACTTCAGCTTCCAGCAAATGCTCACCCTTGTGGGCAGAGGGCAATGGCAGGTGGTCAGGTACGGGTTGCCCACATGGGACATGTGGACTGAGCTCTTAGCTCTGACTGCTGTGGGCATCAGGGCGTGAACTAGTTCATGGCAGCCTGCTGCTCTCTGCCTATCTCTAGAGAAGATCTAAAAACAATTTTATCTCTGGTGTCAAACTGCGAGGGGAGAAAACCCACCATACCCACTTAATTAGCTTTGTGTCTCTTTTTTTTGTTAAATGTGAAATGCAACAGCATCCCCTTGAGGAAGGGAGGTCGAGGGCATCGTGAAGGGGGAAAAAAAAGGCCAACACACAGGAGAAGCCCCTGGACACAACTCGAATACACTGACAACATGATGCTAACAGCGCTCAGCACAGTTACTAACAGTGACACTTCCCTTTCCGTGTTCGCTTCCGAAAAGGCTAGTGTTTCAGGCCTTGTCCAAGTTTCCAGAGACACAAGTCCCAGAAAGCGAACATGTCTCTAGTCCAAGGAATCAAAGCTCCCCTGAGCACCCAGAAAAAAGCTCCAGCACCCAGCTTCCCCCCTTCCCAGGAGCTGCCTTACCAGGCCAGTCCCCCGCAAGGCGGTCCCCTCGGCCAGCAGCACGCACCTGTTCTCATAGATGTCCTGGATCTCATACACCTTCTGGTCGATGACATCGCTGGAGACCCGGCTGGCCTGCAGCTCGTACACCTTCTGGTCTATCAGATCCGACACCGTCTTGTGGAAATACTGGATGAAGTTTTTGATCACTTCCGGGATCACCTGATAGGTCTGCTGTTCATACTGACGCTCGTAAGCCAGGTCTTGCTTCGGGTCTCCTGGAGGGCAAAGATGGATAAATATTTTAGAGTTTCCTGGTGGGACGGAAGTCTCCAAATTAAACTACCCTTGAGTCTACATAAAGTGGTACAATCCCCTCTGGCTACTGGGAAAAGAACCACTATAAACCTCCCAAATCCGTCCCAACCGCCCCCCTCCAACCAACAAGCAGTCCTTAGCAGGTGCCAGTCAGACCCAGAGAAATTCACCGCCCAAGCGATTTTCAGCTGATCCTGACCCTGAAGAAGTGCCGAGGCCTGGCTGTCCCCGGCAGGGCGCTCACCTGTGTGCATATCATAGTCGCTGGGATACGCGTAAGGGTCGTAGACAGCCTGGAAGCAAACAGACAACCCGGGAATCCACAATGCTCTCCCAGCCGGCGTCCCACTGGCAGACCGAACGCTCAGCCCCGTCCCAGCCTGGGGGACCCCGGGATGGACCCCACCGACCCCAGCCGGAAAAAGAGGGAACTGACACGAACACCGAGCCGTCTCCCCAGTCTCGGCCGGCGAAGCCTAGAAAAGCAGTGGACTCGAGGGCCGGACACGCGGGGAGGACTGGCAGAGGGGAGCCGGGCCAGCAGCGTGGGGCCCGCTCGGGGCGGGTCGCTCGCCAAGCCCCAAACCCCCTCTCAGGACCGGCATCCCAAGGAGCCCAGAAACCGCATGGCGAACGCAGCCACGCGAGGGGCGTCACATTACCTCCGACTCATAATCATCACCGGGGTAAGACATGGCGGCGCCGCTCGTGGAGACCGCCGAAGAGAGCGAACTCGGCGGCGCACGCCTGCGTTACGACGCCGGAAGTTCCCGCCAGAAAACCGGAAGACGATCAGGGACTCCCGGCAAACGGAAATGGCCATGTTCAGAAGGGTGACGAGGAAAATTACCTAAGAATATTCTTTTCTCAGTTCTTTTTTTTTTCAAGCAATATGAGCCTATAGCAATTATGTAAATTCTTAGACAGAATCATGAGCTAGTTCGTCATTACAAATGGGAAAATTAAAGTGGAAAGCCCTACGATGCCACACACAAGATGGCTGCCAGCCTCTTCCGGACAGCTTCTGGAGGAAAGGACGATGAAGGGCCGGCCTGGGGTTGAGCCGTAAGCGGTTCGCCTGCCGCAGCGAGAAGTGTCTTCAGACCTTCTGGAGCACCTGGAGACTGGACGTGTCGAGTGTACCAGTGTACCAGTCCCACGCGAGGACACGGCATTGAGGAGAGTGGCCTCGTGGAGCAGGCAAAGATGAAGCCAGCTGTTTTGGGATGCTGGGGCCCCCCCGCTGCTGGTGAGAGCCCAGGTCCTGTGCCAGCTCGGGGTACGGGAGGAGGGGGACTTCAGGTTCCACGGAAGCCCTCCCGAGAGCGGTAGGCTAATATGACTCACAGACAGGATCCCGTATATGTAACCTCAGAAGACTTGGTTGAGTCACCATGGGCAACATACAGTGGAACTATGGGTTGCAGTGGCTGGCACAGATTTGCTCAGGGACCAGGAACTTACTCGCTTCACCCTCCCTGGGCCACGGTCTCCAAACCTGCTTGTCACACAGCTCCCGTTGCCCTGCCCATGGAAGTGCTAGCACTTTTGCATGCATGGAATCTGGAGTATGCAGTATATCCCCTGGTGGTCCTGGCTCTATCACCTAAAGTTTTTGTTATGACTTCATGCACCCCCAGAGCACCCTTCTCAGACTGGTGAAGTCCTGCCCCAACTCCCAATGCTGCCATCTTGTGTTTCACTTGTGCAGGATCCCCATGAAGTTTATGGAGCTTAAGTTTCAGGACCCTTCATGTCCTGCCTCGCCCCGCCCCCCCAAACCACCAGGACCCTTACGTGCTCAGGGACAATCCCCAGCTATGACCATGTTTGGTTATTTTATTTTCCTTTTTTTTTTTTAAAGATTTATTTTTATTATTTTCTTATTGGAAAGGCAGATATACAGAGAGGAGAGACAGAGAGGAAGATCTTCCGTCCGATGATTCACTCCCCAAGTGAGCGCAACGGGGCCGATACTATGCCGGTCCGAAGCCAGGAGCCTCTTCTGGGTCTCCCACGCGGGTGCAGGGTCCCAAGGCTTTGGGCCGTCCTCGACTGCTTTCCCAGGCCACAGGCAGGGAGCTGGAAGGGAAGCGGGGCTGCCGGGATTAGAACCGGCGCCCATATGGGATCCCGAGCGTGCAAGGCGAGGACCTTTAACCACTTGCGCCACTGCGCCGGGCCCTATTTTCCTTTTTTTGCTAAAGATTTTTTTTTTTTGCGGGGGGGAGGGGAGTCAAATATACAGAGAGAAGGAGAGACAGAAAAGAAGATCTTCCATCCAATGATTCACTCCCCAAGTGAGCACAACGGCCAGTGCGTGTCAGTCCGAAGCCAGGAGCCAGGAACTTCCTCCAGGTCTCATGCAGGTGCAGGATCCCAAGGCTTTGGGCCGTCCTCGACTGCTTTCCCAGGCCACAAGCAGGGAGCTGGATAGAAAGTGGAACTGCCCCGGTATTAGAACCAGCGCCCATATGGGATCCCAGAGCGTTCAAGATGAGTACTTTAGCCACTAGGCCACGCGGCCAGGCTTACTGCTCCATTCTATTCCAGTTCCCTGCTAGAAGCAACAGATGGTGGTTCAAGTACTTGAGTTCTTGCCCTCACATGGGAGAGCTCCATGGACTTTTGGCTCCCCACTCCAGCCTCTTCCATCTTCCCATTGTTGTGGCTATTTGGGGAATGATAAAGTGGGTGGGAAGTCCTCTGTCATTTTTTTTCAAATAAATAATAAACCATTTTTTAGTTTTTTTGAGGGGAAGAATTACAGAGAGGAAGAGACAGAGCTCTTCAGCCTGTTGGTTCCACACCATAACGACTGGAGCTGGGCCTGCATGGATCTGAAGCCAGGAGTTAAGAGCTTCATCCAGGTCTCCACATGGGTGCAGGTGCCCAAGGTCTTGGACCATCTTCTGCTGCCTTCCCAGGGTATTAGTAGGGAGCTGGATCACAACTGAAGCATCTGGGACTTTGCAACTGTACCCTTATGGGATGCCAGCATGGCAGGAGGTGGCCTTATGCAATAGGCTAGGATACCACACCCACTGGCAGCACACAGAAGAACAAAAATGGGTGCAGGCCAGCTGGGCTAGGTTGCAGCATCAGCTGGCACATGCCAGGACTGGATGCAAATTGTGTCAGGCTGGACCAGTGTCTCTTGACAGGTACAAGATCTGGGGCTGGGAACTGTGGACACTCCCTTGTTAGGTTGTTCCTATTGTTGGTAAGTACAAGAACCAGGGGAGGTCCAGGCTAGACAAGGTAGTGACACCTGTTAGCATATGCAAGGGCTGGGTGTAAAGGCAGGTTGGGCTGAGCTGAGGTGCAGCACACATGGGATGGGATGTGGGCTGGGCCATGCTGGGCCACAACAGAAGCTGGACTGGAGCTGGGGACGAGCCTGATAGGAGTTATTGGGGGCCCCCCTGACTAGCCAGTGGCACTCACTGGTATGTGTGAAGATGGTCTTTGGCAGATTGGCTAGGCTGGGCCACAGCACCTGTCAGTTTATGTGGTAGAGGGCTGGGGTGGAACTAATCAGTTAGCTGCATCCACAGTGTGTGTTGGCTGATGTAGGTGATGGACCACGCCTGACCTCCTACTGGCTACACACATAGGAGTCAGGTCTGAGGTCATCCCAGGCAGGGTTTCTTAGGGGATTTTCCTACTGAACCATTGGACACAGACCCTAGCCACCGAAAAATCACAGGCTGTGTGGTCAGACTTCCGAGTGTATGTATCGGAACTGGGCTTCCTCAGTTGCTGGTGCCAGTGCAGTAGACAGCCTGTCCAAATGCACATGCGGAACATCATGACCAGCTCATCTAGGCCAGTGGGGGATGTCAGCTGCCTGGTCAGAGGGTGAGAACAGAATAGGTTGGACAGTTCTGGCCAGCCTTTGTAGCATATTCTTGTATCTGTGGATTCTTGTAACCAGGGAATTTTGGAGAGATTTTCTCAACCCTGGAGCAATGAAGCCAATAATATCTCAGGTTTATTGAAACCACTGAAGCAACACACTCGGAACATTCCTCTACACATCGGGGTCTCTAGGATGTCATCAAAGGACCATCCCTCTTCCACAGGTACTGATGTGGTTTGATAGCTGGGAGTGGCCCTCTCCCTCTCTTCCCCTGTGGACACAGGAGGAAAAAAAAAATTGAAACATGTATCCCACCCACATTCCTCCATGGCTAACCCTACCCACACTGATCAGAAGCCCAGATGGGCATGAATCCCTTTCAGCTATATAAACAATATTAAAAATAAAATTAAATTTGAAAAAAAAAAATGGCATTGCAGTGGAGGCTTAGTTTATCATTTGGAAGCACATGGGTAGTAAATCTGCTTAGAAACGCATCACTGACCCAGGCAGGCAGGCACAACCAATCACTGACAAATCCAATCTGGGCTGTTTGGTTTGGCTGATGAAAAGCATTTGCTTCCTAGGGAGAGCAGCTCAGGTGAGCCAGACTTGAGAAAGGAGAAAATTCAGTCTCATTACACTTTGCAGTTAGCCTGGGCTCTTCAGCTGACACTGTCAGGTTCACAGCCCTCTCCTCCCTCTTCTCTATCCTGCTTGGGTCCCTGCCACCTACATAGGAAACCTGGATTGAGTTCTGGATCTTTCCCTCTGGCTTGCCCTAGCTCCAAATGTTGTGGGCATGTAGGGGTTCTCTCAAACAAGATAAAAATAAATTTTAAAAAATGTATTACTCGGGCCCGGCGCGGTGGCGCAAGTGGTTAAAGGTCCTCACCTTGCACGCCCGGGATCCCATATGGGCGCCGGTTCTAATCCCGGCAGCCCCGCTTCCCTTCCAGCTCCCTGCCTGTGGCCTGGGAAAGCAGTCGAGGACGGCCCAAAGCTTTGGGAACCTGCACCCACGTGGGAGACCCGGAAGAGGCTCCTGGCTTCGGATCGGCATAGTATCGGCCCGTTGCGCTCACTTGGGGAGTGAATCATCGGACGGAAGATCTTCCTCTCTGTCTCTCCTCTCTGTATATCCACCTTTCCAATGAAAAAATAATAAAAATAAATCTTTAAAAAAAAAAAAAAAAAAAAATGTATTACTCAAGGCAATCTTTGGCCTAGTCATTAAGACATTAGGTTATAGGGACCCAACATGATAGAGTAGTGGTTAAAGTCCTTGCCTTGAACGCACCAGGATCCCATATGGGCACTGGTTCTAATCCCAGCGGCTCTACTTGGGTTTTCTGCTATGTCTTGGCATGGACCCTGTGTGGCTGGGTTATAGCACCCAATAGTAAGAATTGGAATGGGTGTTGGCTGGTTTGACAAACCCACTGTTCCTGCCAGGACAGGGAATAGACTAAATCAGCCTGGAGCAAGGACCCACCGGTGTACACAGGATCTGTCACTGGGAGGAGATCTGATAGTGGAGTTTGGGGAACTTCTCTTTCATGACAGTCCCTGGCAGGTGAACACAAGAACCAAGGCAGAGAGCAGCCCAGACCAGGCCAAGTTACAAGTACCCACTGGCATACGTGTGGGTCAAGTTTGGGGGCGGGCCAGGCTGGGCCATTTTGTAACAACCAATGGCAGCTGTGAGTATGAACATGGGGTGTAGGACAGGCCAGTTTGGGCCACAGCACCAGCCAGTTCACATTAGGGCAGGGGCTGGGGGCTGGCTGGGTCAGATTAGGCTGCAGCACCTGCCAGCATGAGCTAAGATCAGGTGCAGAGCAGGATGGGGTAGGTTACAGCACCTGCCAGCAAATGCCAAGGTGCAGTGGGCCATGCCAGTCTGGGCTGCAACATGCATCAGTACACATGAGACCCAAAGGGAAGGGTTACAAGCCTGGTAGGGAATGGCGTGGGCTCCCTTGCTGGGCCTCTGTTCCCACTGGCAGACCAGAACTGGCAGGGCTACAACATCTGTTGGCTTGCATGTGAACTGGGTTGGGGGAGAGCCAGGCTTGGTTAACCGACTGTATCCACTAGTGTATGCATGAGCCAGAGTAAGTGCAGGGTGGTTGGGCTTTGCTGAAGCATCAGCTGACAAGTGCTGGGACTGGGGACACATCCTGTCCAGCTATCCTGCAGAACCTCCTGGAGAGTGAGAGATCTAGGATTGGGAGTGGGCCCAGTAAAGAAGAAAAATAAAAATTTAAAGGATCTTAATGGAAAGGATAAAAAATGATTTTGGTTGAACTTCTAACTGAATTCATTTGGCTGGCGGGCAGTAGAGACACAAAGAGAATTGTGCTTTACACAGCATACTCAGCCTGGGTCCCTTCAGGTGACAGTGGAGGATTGAAGACTGATGCAGGGTGTGATGCAGGGAAGAGAGCAGAAACACATAACAAAGTCACATATGAATGATCCGCAAAGTATGGGGTGAGAAAACCCAGGTGCCAGGTTTCCCAGGGAGTGGAGAAAACTGTCTTTTTTTTTTCCATCTTTGTTTTTGTTTCCTTTACTTGAAAGACAGACACAAAGAGATTGTCCATCCACTAGTTCATTCCCAAGGGTTGTGTCAGACTAAAGAAAGAAGACAGAAACTCCATCTGGGTCTTGCACCAAGGTGGCAGGGATCCAAGCACTCGCCTGTCCGCTGCTGCCTCCCAGGGTGTGCATTAGCAGGGAGCTGGAGCGGAAACAGGGAGCTGGGAGGTGACCCGGACACTTGGACATGACCTAGCCTCTAGTGGAGAGCCTCAGGCAGCCTCAGCTATCCAGCTCTGCATCCTTGCCTGACGTCCGTTGCCTCTCAATGCCTCATTCTTCCCATCCACACAGCAGGCACAGTAGCGAACATCTGCACGCCGAGGCTCTTGGCAGGGAGAAGCCAACTATAGGACATCAGGGAGCTGGCACGTGTCCCACTCATTTCTGTGTGCCAGCATACAAATAGCCCTTTCTCCCGTATGGCACAGGTGTGAAGCCAGAGGGCGGACAGTCCTGCAGAGACCAGCACTTCTTGCTAGGCACAAGAAGGGTCCCAGGAGCGTTTGTCCTCTGATAGTAGCGCATTGCATGTGACACACGAACCTCCGTGCCCAGCTTCTAGAAGCGTCTGTGGGCTGTTCTGGAAGGATATGGTCCGCGCCTGACAGCACACTTCCTGTTTTCAGGGCCCATTTCGGGTACCGAATGCAGTGACCAGCCCTTGGGCTGGACCGCACCTCTGACATATTTTAGTTGAAGTAGATCAGGGATCGAAGCTGGGGGGTGACGGACATAACCAGATACAAGGAAATTTGCATTTAGAAACGTATTCCTCTACAGTTTATGGTAATACCGTAATAGCTACCTCAAAGCTTCACATTTCCCCTATTCTGCTTACATTATGCACTTGTGGGAAGTCTATCTTTCCATTCATGTATATATATGTGTATATATATATATATATCTCCAGAAGAGTGTGGCTTCCTCATTTTTCTTTGTGATTGGTTGAGGCATCTACTTGTTTTGTTTATCACGCTGGGGGGTAGGAACGGAAAGAAGAAAGTGATTTAAACTCAGCTTTTATTGGCTCCGGTAGTGACGTCTGGCCAAAGACCTTGGGCATCTCTAATTTCCGATTGGCTATCACGTCCGCCACTCGCGCTGCCGGGAACTCTGTCCAATCCTCTTGTTCGTAACAGTTTCCCTTCCCGATTGACTGCTGGGAGTTTCGGCTAAGACGTTGTCATTGGTCACCAGACGGCCAGATCCCGCCCACGCCCGACGGTCGGCTGAAAGTCCGGCCCCCCAGGCGAGTGGCCGACTGCGAGGCTCGGGGCGGAAGGAAGTGGATCCGACCGTGTGTCGGTCAGGAACGAGGCTGCGGCGGCCAGACCGGCGCCGAGCTGTTGCCATGGCAGCTGCCGCCGGGGGCGCAGACGACGAGCCGCGCTCGGGCGGCTCGAGCTCGGAGGGCGAGTGCGCGGTGGCGCCGGAGCCGCTGACGGGCGGTGTGGGCCTCCTGTCCTTCGTGGGGTCTGCGCTGGGAGATGGCCCGCGTCTCGAGTTCCGGCCGGCCGGCGGGTCCCAGTCCCCGGTGCGCTACCTGCACGTCGTGTGGCAGGAGGACGCCGAGCCGCGCGGCGAGCTGCGCTGCAAGATGCCCGCCGGCCGGCTGCGACGAGCCGCCAGGGCCCACCGGCGCTTCGGGCCCATGGGCAAGGAGACACACGGTGAGACGCGCGGGGCGGAGCGCGGCGGGGCGCGGGGCGCCCGCTGGGGTCGTGCAGGCCACCCTGGAACCCGCGCTGTCGAGTCCGCCTAGGGCCCCGCTGGGTTCTTGGGTCTCTCGTTTTAACAACCTTTCCACAGGTAGCTGCTGTGCATCTTGCATGTTTCAAAGCACCAGTTTCTTTTCACTGAGTAATTCCTGAAACTTCACACTCTGGGTGCTTCTTAGTAATTGGTGAACTGAGAATTCCTGATCGGATCCAGTACTTTCAGTGTATCCAGGTGCAGCCCTTGTCACCCTTGGTTTTGCCATCTGTAAAATGGACACAGCACCCGCCTTACAAAGGTGTGACAGGAAGACCATGAGACCCCCGCCATTTTAGACCCACAGCTGCCTTAAATAGTTGTTTCCCTTAGGTTTCATTTCCCTGAAGTTTCAGTTTTGATTTGATTTTTGTAAATCTCAAGCTCATTTTAGTTCCTTGACAGCCTTATCCACCACTCCCTTGTGACCCCATATCCCTGGCCCCACCTACCACCATGTCTACCCATCTCCGCCACCTTCTACTCGTAGTACCTGCCCCTGTACTATAAAAAGCACACTCCCTGTTCTGTCTGCTCCTGGTTCTCGGCTTTCCCGTGTCCCGCGGCGCGAATAAAGACCTGTGTGTCCGCTGTGTCTGGTGCTTGGGTTTGTGGCGCTATTTCTTACCACCAAGTGAACAGGCTCCTCCATGCACATGGGAGACCCAGAAGAGGCTCCTGGCTCCCAGCTTCAGTTCTGCCCAGCTCCTGCTGTTGTGGCCATTTGAGAAGTTGAACCAGCGGATGAAGGAACTCTGTTCCTGCTTCTCTTTCTTTTCTTTTCTTTTTTTTTTTTTTAAGATTTATTTATTTTTATTGCAAAGTCAGATATTTATATAGAGAGGAGGAGAGACAGAGAGGAAGATCTTCCGTCCAATGATTCAACCCCCCAGTGACTGCAATGGCTGGTGCTGTGTCAATCTGAAGCCAGGATCCAGGAACTCTTCCGGGTCTCCCACATGGGTGCAGGATCCCAAGGCTTTGGGCCGTCCTCAACTGCTTTCCCAGGCCACAAGCAGGGAGTTGGATGGGAAGCTGAACCACCAGGATTAGAACTGGCGCCCATATGGGATCCTGGCACACTCAAGGCGAGGACTTCAGTCACTAGGCCACTGCATCAGGCCCTCCTGCTTCTCTTTCCTTAATTCTTCCTTTCAAATAAAAATAAATCTATAAAAACAACAACAACAAAAAAGTTGGAGACTGAAAATGCTGCACAAATGATGAAGTAGAGGGGCCCAACGGTGTGGCCTAGTGGCTAAGGTCCTCGCCTTGAATGTGCTGGGATTCCATATGGTCGCCAGTTCTAATCCCGGCAGTTCCACTTCCTCTCTCTCTCTCCTCCTCTCTGTATATCTAACTTTGTAATAAAAATAAAATAAATCTTTAAAAAAAAAAAAAGATGAAGTAGAGAAGCATCTGGCCTGGCTTTGCTGTGTAGGACGCAGGGCTGCTTGTCCAGCTCTGGCCCCTGGGGCCGCATCCCTGCGGCAGGGGTGCTTGGGACATCACAGGGACAGCTCGAGGAACTAGAAGTCTGGACTAAGTTCAGGAAGAAGCAGAGAAAGATCTGTGCTGGTTCACTGCTCAGGTGGCTGCAGTGGCCGGCATTCAGCCCATCTGAGCCGGGAGCTTTGGGTCCCAAGGCTTTGGGCCGTCCTCGGCTGCTTTCCCAGGCCACGAGCAGGGAGCTGGATGGGAAGTGGAGAAATGGAGCAGCTGGCACACAAACTGGCAACCATATAAGATCCCGGTGTGTGCAAAGTGAGGATTTAGTCACTGGGCCGTGGGGCTAGGTCCAGGAAATACGTTTCTACTTAGGAATTACCAAATTCAGATGATCAACCTGATGGCCTAATTGTAAATAGGCTCGTTTGAGGCCAACCTATTTTGGAGGCAAATCCAAGTGTAGGATGGGCTGTTGATGGAAGCAGCCTACAGAGTCTCCACATATTTCAGTCATTTTGTTCTCAGAGCTGTTCAGCTGGCACGGCCATTCCGCCTCCTTTACTATTGATAGGCCTCAGGGGTTAGCTTGCCCTGTGCCACCAGCCATCAGAAGGGACAGAGACGAAGGCTGGCCCCCCAATTTGGGCCAATTGGCTGAAGAATATGGGTGTAGAGGCAGCAGATCCTGTCTGCACACCTGCTTGTTCCCAGGGTAGTGCCGCTCATGTCCTAACCCCTTGTTTGAAACTGTAAGAGCCCTGTGGTTGAGGGGTGGGCTACCCAAGATGCTTTCTGGCTTCATTTTATCATAACGGTTTCCTAAGTGACATCTGTATTCTCTCCACAGCGCTGAAGAGGCTGAGGGACTCGGCCAACGCCAATGATGTAGAAACAGGTAAGTAAGTGCCAGCAGCACCTGGACTGGTAAGGGAGGGAACAAGCCAGGTCAGTGACACCCGGGAAGACCAGTGACCCACTGCCCTGATCACCACCCCCTGCCTGGAGCTGACCCAATACTTCCTATGGGTACCCTGCAGAAGTCACACTGGGACAGATCCTGTACACTGTCCACGGGCTCACCTTTCACCTGCTGCTCCTGGTGGCAGAGCATTCATCACCCTGTGGGCTTCCTGGTGTTGGCCCTGTGTCTGCTGCTGGGTCCCTGGCACCCAGCACGGTTCCCTTGTGCTAATCCTATGTATGATGTTAGGTCGCTACACTTAGCACAACGTCACATTCCACTTGAACCTTCCTATTGGTGGCACCTTGGCGGGGGTGAGAATGGGCCCAGGGCCACAAGTGACTATGGCACAATGCTGAGCTGGTGGCACCTGACGCCGGACCAGGACTCTGCTTGGCGGAGTCCCCCTTCTTGCTCTCCAGCCCTCATTGGTGGCTGGGGGGGCGGCACACAGCAAGGACAACTTAGAGGACAGTTTTCTTCATCCAAGAACGGCCTTCTATTTCTTTGTTATTTTTATTTTTTAAATTAGTTTTTATTTGCAATTAAGATTAACAGAGAGAAGGAGAAACTGAAAGATCTTCCATCTGCTAATTCACTCGCCAAATGAACACAAAATCCAGAGCTGAGCTGTTCCTACTTCTTCTGGGTCTCCCACGTGGGTACAAAGTCTAAAGACTATAGGCCGTCCTCTTCTGCTTTCCCAGGCCACAGGCAGGGAGCTGGATGCGAAGTGGGGGCAGCAGAGATAGAAATTGGCACCAATAGTAATCCTGGTCAATGCAAGACGGAGACATTAGCAGCTAGGCTAGGAGACATTAGTCAGTAGGCTACTGTGCCAGGCCCGAAGTACTTAAAGTGTTTGTAACACTTAGGTGGGGCCAAGCAGAGGCCCGTGGCTCAGTAGCTCCAGTAAAGCTCACTGGAAAGACAATAAAGCAGTCCTGGCTGTAAATGATGGTGTTGGTGGGCAGCAATTTGGTGCACTCAGGCTGAACGCAACCATTAGTGCATGATGCCGCCCATCTTCCCACCTCTGTGGCTCTCAGCAGGGGAATGCATGTCTGTTCCTCATCCTAGCAGCACTTGGGGCAGCAGGACTGCGCTGATGGGCCACGCCCCGGGGCGGGCAGGGACAGTGGTTGAGGACTGGGTCCCATGTCTAGGCCTTCGCTCTCCCCTCCCACTCCCCCTGCTGTGGACAGTGTGTTTATGCAGGGCCTGCTCACTGTCCCCGGGGAGCAGAGTCAGGCTCAAGAGTAAGATAGGCATCTGGGTGGCAGAGTCCATGTGGGGGTCTGTGTGAGTCACATGGCCTCACCACGTGGGCCAGGAGTCCCCAGTGACTTCCTGTCCCTACAAAAATCAGGGACCTGAGGGGCCACGCCCTTGGACAGGACAACCCTGTCACCAGGCAGCCAGCCCTCAGGAGGGGCCAGCTCTCAGCCAGCTGCAGGGCTTGCAGCTGGCCTAACCCTGCCGCCTGTCCCGCCCGCCCTCTCTACCTCCTTGTGCCTTGTGCCTTGGTGAGGCCAGTGCAGCAGCTGCTGGAAGATGGCACAGACCCCTGTGCAGCCGACGACAAGGGACGCACGGCTCTCCACTTTGCCTCCTGCAATGGCAATGACCAGATCGGTGAGTCTTTGGGGGTTGGATTATGTGAGACGTTGCACCCACAGTTTGGCCTCCGGTTGCCGAACTACCGGAGCTGGCACCCAACTGAACTGCCCTGCACTTTCCCTCCCTCAGCCTGTGCAGCTGGCACTGCCAGGTACAGGAAGCAGGGAGCTGCAGCTGGGAGAGACCCCGGAGGGACACAGCCCAAGCCTTGAAGTTAAACTTTGTGGCTTAGCTTCTAAACCGTGACTCTGTGTGTGTGTGTGTATGTGCGTGTGTACATGCCTGTGCGTGCAAACCTGCTAGGGGCGGGGGCGAACTGCCACCAGATCAGGATGGCAAATGTGTCCCAGGCCTGTCCCCTTGCACACCTTGGCCACCACAGTGTGGTGTGACCTAGCTGTGGAGGTCACCTCAGTGGAAGCCCTCCTGCCCCCTTGTGTACTCCATTGCGCATGCTCTGTTCCTCCACTGCTGTGTCTGTGGGCACCATGCCTGGGTCTCCCCGAGTTTGCCTTTGCTGTGCTGGTCCCCACGTGAGGTGACACACCCCTTGCCCCATCCTGCTGATGAGGGACATTTACATCATTTCCTGGATTCAGCCTTTACCAGGCCATTCCATGCATTCACCTGTAGGGGGCGAAGCGGGGTCTCAGCTTGCAAGGCATTCCTGTAGCTGTAGCAGGTGCCATCAGCCTGTTTCCCAAAGGAGATGGGAAGCTGAGAGACACACCCTCAACCAGCTTCTCTCCAGGTCATTCTAGGTTAATAGCATCTCCTGATGGTTTCATTTGCATTTCCTAAGCGGGAACTGGCTTGTGGGCTGTGAATTTCTCTCGTGCGTGAAATGTCAGGTCAAGGCTTTGGCCCAGCAAGTTGGCTCCTGTACCTCAGTACTGGGTGTTCTGGACACGGATGGCAGACCACGGGCAGAGGGCATGTTTGCGAGGTGGTCTTGGTGTTCCCTGAGTGTCACCTTTCAGTTTCTCCAAGGTCTTCCTCCTTAGCAAGTGCAGCTTGTGGGCGCGTGAGTGTGAGTGTGTGTGGTAACTGGGTGAGCAGGGATGTGTTTTGCCATGCATCATGTCCCACACTGAGCAAAGCTGCTGGCAAGGTCGGGTCCCTCATCAGACCTGGTGCTCAGCTCTCTCCCTCTGAGACAAGTGGTGGGAGTGGACAGACACCCCCACAGGCTCTCTTGGGATCCCTCCTTGCAGTGCAGCTGCTCCTGGACCACGGGGCCGACCCTAACCAGCGAGACGGGCTGGGGAACACTCCACTGCACCTGGGTAAGCACCTCAGAAGTCACGAAGGAATACTTGCTTGGCTTTCTGCCCCTGCACACTGTCACCGTGTGTGGGGACAATCCAAGCCCCGAAGCAGTGCTCCCAGCCTGTGTCCCTTACTTTCCCATCGTTCGGCAATCAGCTCTGCCCTGGGCATCGCTACTTGGCAGCCACAGCTGGCTCAGTTATGCCTTTCCCTGGGCAGGTACAGCTTGCGTCCTGAGCCGGTTGCGGCCTCGCTGACTCACTGTTACTCATATTGGGGCAGGTGGCAGGTGGGCCTCGGTGCTCAGCTGCACGGGAAAGGAGGTAGAATCCTGGCCAGCTGCTGCCCTGCTGACTACTGCTCAAGGGGCAGAACTTGGCACAGACATGCTCAGAGACCCAGCCCTGCCCTGCCCTAGCATGAGGACACAGGGCCCAGGCCATGGTCACTGAGCTCTCCCATCTGCTTTCTTCCTCAGCGGCCTGCACCAGCCATGTCCCTGTCATCACCACACTGCTCCGAGGAGGTGGGTAGTCTTTTTTCTTTTCCCACCCTACCCCCAGTTCCTCCTCTGCTCCCCAGGGTGGTCCTCTGCCTGCTCTCTCAGGGGCTTGTCTCTTCCCCAGTCCCTCACCTTCTGCCCTACCTGCTCCTGCAGGAGCCCGTGTGGATGCCCTGGACCGCGCTGGCCGCACGCCCCTGCACCTGGCCAAGTCGAAGCTAAGCATCCTGCAGGAAGGCCATTCCCAGTGCCTGGAGGCCGTGCGGCTGGAGGTGAAGCAGGTGAGGAGTGCCAGACCCCTGGTGAGCCCTGCACACAGTTGCCCTCCCCACCCCCTGCACACACCTGCCTTTGGCCCCTGGGATGGCTCCTGCCTGCGTGGGCCTGGGGCCCTGTCAGCAGGGGCCCTGAGTAGCACCCAGGCAACCTGGCTCACACTCTCGTTCCAGATCATCCACATGCTGCGGGAGTACCTGGAGCGCCTGGGGCGCCATGAGCAGCGTGAACGGCTCGATGACCTGTGCACCCGGCTACAGATGACCAGCACCAAGGAGCAGGTAAGCTGCAGCCTTAGGCTGCACCCTACTTCCCACCCCCAGACGGTTGGATATGTGATACTGGGTCGGTGAGTGGGTGTCCCTGGCACCCTAGTGCAGAGCCCGGGTTCTGTTCCACAGGTGGATGAGGTGACCGACCTGCTAGCCAGCTTCACGTCGCTCAGTTTGCAGATGCAGAATATTGAAAAGAGGTAGCAAAAGGGGATCCTGCCGTTGCCCCGCCCCCCGTCCCCACTGCTCTCATTACTAAGCGACAGCCCCAGGCCCAGGCCCAGGGAACTGCCCTTGTAGGGCCTGGGCCTTCGTCCCCACATGCTGCGGGACAGAAGCATGATTTCCAGGACCTCAGAACTGAACTTACCCCATCCCACCGCCGTACACCTCATCCCTGTTCTCCATCTTCTCTGTGAGCTGGGACCATTATCCCCCATCTGCTTGTCCAGCTCCTGCAGCACCGGACTAGTCTCTGAAGCCACACTTGGGTCCTGGGTGACTTATGACATGCTGTGTCCCGGTGGGCCTCACATGCCCCATGGCATCCCAAGAGCTGTCTCTCTCTCTTCCTTCCCCACCATAGGTCTGTTGTAGTCCACACAACATGGGCTTAGGGTAAACCAAAGACAGCCACCAGGGCCTCCTGGTTGACCCCAGGCCTGTCACCAACGCCAACACTGAGGCTTGTCCCCTGACCTTGTAGGAGTTTCTGTGTGAAGGGAGGGTTGGCAGTGCCCAGGCCCTGCCGAGCTCAATGCAGCCTCTCGCCCCGTTCTTCCCAGCCCCTGACCCCCCAGGGACTGTGACAGTTGGTAGCCAAGGGACAGGAGGCAGAGTGGCCTCCAAATGTCCATGAGGAGTTCCAGGGTATGTGACCCTGGCTGAAGCTGGTGGAGGGACTCTAGCTGTGGTGTCCCTGAGGTACACGGCCCCAGGTATCCGGATGGGCCGTGCAGTCACCGAGGTCCCACGGAGGGAAGCAGGAGATGGGTGAGGACGGAGGCGTAGGCTGATGGCCAGAAGCAAGAAGCAGATGTCACTGCTGGAACGGACCGTGAGCCAAGGAGTGCAGGCTGCCTCTGTGAGCCAGGAGAGGCAGAGAAACAGTTAGCTCTAACCCCACAGTTCCAGAAGAAGCTGGCCCTGCTGCCATTTGGACTACAGCCCATTGAGACTGCTTCCAAAATTCTGCCTTCCAGAGCTATAAGAAAATAAAGCTGCGTTCAGACACCCAGCTGTGCTCATTGTCTCAGTGTGCATGATGCCAGAGTGAGCACAGTTATGGTCCCTGGGAGATGAGCCTGGTGGGGAAGGCGGGAGACTGAAGGCAGAGATGAAACCTTTGGACTTCCCAGGAATGGCCACCCTGGTCTGCAGGCACAGCAGCTCCCCTTGCTGTGGGCAGGGTCACTGGGCAGGGGTCTGGGGTCTGGCTGCGGGGGAGGCCAAAGGGAAGTCTCCTGTACTTTCCTGGGGAGATCTCTGACTGCAGACCTTGCAGATGACCAGTCTCCTTGCAGACGGGTGCTGCCCTGCCTCCTCTAGCACCTCATTAAAGACCCCAGCTGCCTTCAGAGGACAGCATGGCCCTCAGCTCTCAGTTCACTGAGAGGATGAAGATCTTGGAGAAATTGAAAGGTGACACTCAGGGAACACCAAGACCACCTCGCAAACATGCCCTCTGCCCGTGGTCTGCCATCCGTGTCCAGAACACCCAGTACTGAGGTACAGGAGCCAACTTGCTGGGCCAAAGCCTTGACCTGACATTTCACGCACGAGAGAAATTCACAGCCCACAAGCCAGTTCCCGCTTAGGAAATGCAAATGAAACCATCAGGAGATGCTATTAACCTAGAATGACCTGGAGAGAAGCTGGTTGAGGGTGTGTCTCTCAGCTTCCCATCTCCTTTGGGAAACAGGCTGATGGCACCTGCTACAGCTACAGGAATGCCTTGCAAGCTGAGACCCCGCTTCGCCCCCTACAGGTGAATGCATGGAATGGCCTGGTAAAGGCTGAATCCAGGAAATGATGTAAATGTCCCTCATCAGCAGGATGGGACAAGGGGTGTGTCACCTCACGTGGGGACCAGCACAGCAAAGGCAAACTCGGGGAGACCCAGGCATGGTGCCCACAGACACAGCAGTGGAGGAACAGAGCATGCGCAATGGAGTACACAAGGGGGCAGGAGGGCTTCCACTGAGGTGACCTCCACAGCTAGGTCACACCACACTGTGGTGGCCAAGGTGTGCAAGGGGACAGGCCTGGGACACATTTGCCATCCTGATCTGGTGGCAGTTCGCCCCCGCCCCTAGCAGGTTTGCACGCACAGGCATGTACACACGCACATACACACACACACACACACACACACACACACACACACACAGAGTCACGGTCTAGAAGCTAAGCCACAAAGTTTAACTTCAAGGCTTGGGCTGTGTCCCTCCGGGGTCTCTCCCAGCTGCAGCTCCCTGCTTCCTGTACCTGGCAGTGCCAGCTGCACAGGCTGAGGGAGGGAAAGTGCAGGGCAGTTCAGTTGGGTGCCAGCTCCGGTAGTTCGGCAACCGGAGGCCAAACTGTGGGTGCAACGTCTCACATAATCCAACCCCCAAAGACTCACCGATCTGGTCATTGCCATTGCAGGAGGCAAAGTGGAGAGCCGTGCGTCCCTTGTCGTCGGCTGCACAGGGGTCTGTGCCATCTTCCAGCAGCTGCTGCACTGGCCTCACCAAGGCACAAGGCACAAGGAGGTAGAGAGGGCGGGCGGGACAGGCGGCAGGGTTAGGCCAGCTGCAAGCCCTGCAGCTGGCTGAGAGCTGGCCCCTCCTGAGGGCTGGCTGCCTGGTGACAGGGTTGTCCTGTCCAAGGGCGTGGCCCCTCAGGTCCCTGATTTTTGTAGGGACAGGAAGTCACTGGGGACTCCTGGCCCACGTGGTGAGGCCATGTGACTCACACAGACCCCCACATGGACTCTGCCACCCAGATGCCTATCTTACTCTTGAGCCTGACTCTGCTCCCCGGGGACAGTGAGCAGGCCCTGCATAAACACACTGTCCACAGCAGGGGGAGTGGGAGGGGAGAGCGAAGGCCTAGACATGGGACCCAGTCCTCAACCACTGTCCCTGCCCGCCCCGGGGCGTGGCCATCAGCGCAGTCCTGCTGCCCCAAGTGCTGCTAGGATGAGGAACAGACATGCATTCCCCTGCTGAGAGCCACAGAGGTGGGAAGATGGGCGGCATCATGCACTAATGGTTGCGTTCACCCTGAGTGCACCAAATTGCTGCCCACCAACACCATCATTTACAGCCAGGACCGCTTTAGTCTCTTCCCACTGACCCTGCCAGTACCAGGAATCCTTACTGATAAAGCTCTGACATTCCACCCCTCACTCTGTTACTCTGTTCCTGCACTAGGTACAAAGACCAGGTTATAAACACAAGCTGATCACCAGCCAGGCAGCCTTTGGGTGGGAAGGCTACAATGTCTCAGGCTCCTTGCACAGACTCACAAGGGCCCAAGGTGTGTTCTTCCTGTCACATGCGTCATAGCCAGATCCATGCCATGGGTCATAGACACCAGCACCTATGTCTCTCCAAACAAACACATCACTTCAGCTTTCTGTGGCCTTTTTGGTTTTTAAAATTTATTTTAAAGGCAGAGAACACAGGGAGAAGAAAGGAAGGAGAGCAAGAGAGACCCTCCATCCCAGATCGCTCCCATAGGGCTCACATGGAACCTCATCCTTGTCTCCCTCGTGAGTGCGTGCAGGAACTCCTACACTTGACCCCTTCTCTATTGCTTCTCTCATATTATCAAGCAGTGCCCTCACCTGCTACACCACAACACTGGCCCATTCCATGGCCTTTATAATAAAGATTTACTCTGAGTGATTTGAAAGGCAGAGTGGCAGAGAGGGAGAGACAAAGAGAAAGAGAAATCTTCTATCTGCTGGTCTATTCCTCACATGGCACACACAGCTGGGTCTGGGCCAGGCTGAAGCCAGGAATCTAGAACTCCATCTGGTTTAGGAACTCATGCCCTTCAGCCATCCTGTTGGCTTCGCAGGTGCAAGCTGCATGGCAAGTGGACAAGTCAGGACTCAATCCAGAGCTCTGAAATGGGCTGCTGGCACTGCAGGTGGCAGCTTAACCCACCGCACCACAATGCCAGCCCAAAGATATTCTTCTTTCTTGGCTTTGTTTATCTGCTTATACTGGCTGGCTGAATACACCAAGAAAGGTGGGAGGAAAAGATGCCTGCTAAGGAGAAGTAAGAGGTTCAAGTCATTTTGCCACTTACACTGACAGTCACCTGAAGAGAGCCACGATCAAAGAAATCCAACAACTGGAAGTGGTCTGGTCCACTTTTATGAATTTGACAGGCTTTTAAAAAAACACTTTAGCAACCTCTATGAAGAATCATCCAAACATTCAAACCTTTATTGGAATCCGCAGAAAGCAATCTGAAAGCTGAAAAGCCAAAGTCCAAATATGTAACTGGCTCTTACTTTTTCCTTTTTAGGTAATGGCATGTACCATTATGTGACAAAAAGGAGCTACAATTCATTTAAAATAATATGGTTCAGGGTCCATCACAATGGCTCAGTGGCTCAATGGTTTAATCCTTAACTTGCAAGCACTGGCATCCCATATAGACACTGGTTCGTATACCAGCTGTTCAACAGCCAAATCTGAGCTGATGCAAAGTCAGGAGCTTCTTTAGGATCTTCCACACAGGTGCAGGGTCCCAAGGCATTGGGCCATCCTGTACTGCTTTCCCAGACCATGGGTTGGAAGGGAAGTAGAGGAGCCAGGACATGAACCAGTACCCATATGGGATCATTTTGCTTATAAGGCACTAAGCCATCAGTACAAGCCCTGTGATATCATTTTTCAATTTTTACTTTTTAAAAAGGCATACCGAGGGAGAGGGAGAACTCTATGCTGATTCACTCCCCTATGGCCCCAATAGCCAGAGCTGGGCCAGGCTAACCAGGAGCCTGGAGCTCTGGGAGGGTTTCCCACATGAGTGGCAGGGCCCCAAGTCCTGAGGCAGTGCCTGCTGCCTCAGCAGGAAGTTGATCAGCAGTGGAACTGGGACTGGCACTCTGGCACCCCAGTGTGGGATATGAGCCACTCAAGCAGCCATTCACTCAGATCTGAATTCCATGGAGCTGGTACCTTGCGTGGGTGTGAGATTCGGACCTTGGGGTGCCCCCAGGTCCTATGGGAAGGGAGCCAAGCCTGCCAGGACTGCAGGGATGGTGAGGGAATGGAGGTCCTGAAAATACTGCCAGTGGCAGGGGTGCTGAGTGTGGGACGGATGTAGGGGTGCAGCAGGTAGGACACTTCTCTCCCTTCCTTCCTCCCCCAGGTCACTCTTGACTCCCTCCAAGTGAGCCTGCCCACTTCCCATTCAGGAGACCTTTGAGCTTGTCCTCTTGCAGGAACCTACTGGGGCCTGAGCCCCAACGCAACTTGCTTCCTCTGGTGTCAGGAGGGAGGGGGCCACTCCTCTTGGCACCTGCTCCCCTGGGTCTCCCCACCCCATCTCGGGTTGGAAGGGGTGGCGGGTGAGGGGGGAGATCACCCAGGAGAGACAGTTGAGGCAGTATTTCTCAACCTCTGTTGCCAGGGATCAGGCCCCAGGGTGGGGGTTGGGGGTCTGTGCCTTCAAGTATGTGTGCCTGTCTGAGCCAAAGGGCCACACACAAAGCTGAGGGTCCAGTGGCTGGGATCTCCTGGGCATCCGGAGGCCCCGTGGATTCTCCCGGGTCTGTCACTCCCCAGGCTGGCAG